ACAGGACTGCTCTGAGTGCTATCTTACAGGAGTCAAGTGCTGGTCGTTAACCAGCTGGTGGCCTCCATGCTGTGGTACTGGCTGGTCCCTTTGGTCCGTCCTCCTGCATTTGACGTTGATATCCAGAGAACGTTGGTTCACTTCTTCTGGGACAAAAAGATGCGTTGGGTTCTGAGTCTCCCTTTTGAGGAGGGCAGTAAGTCGCTGGTGTGCGTCTGCAGCCAGGTGGCAACTTTCCACCTTCAGACCTTGCAGCGATATCTTTACATTGAGCCTCCTCTTAGATGGTGCGCCCTGGCGACGTACATCTTCTGCCAGGTGCATTAGCCTCAATTACAATATGCAGTTTCTGTTTGTTCACCGCAAGGGTTTGCAGATTGCCTTCAGGATGCTGCTTCAGGACTTGATCAATGTCTGGGACATGGTCGACTCACGCCGGGCCTACCCACCATCTGGAGTTATCTAAGAATCTGCACCTCCACAATTGTAGGTTCGAGTGGTTAACGGAAGAGAGGACCATGGCCGCAGAGGTGACCAGATTCGGGACCGTGCTGGATCACAGAGGCCTGGACTGGATGCAGCTGCAGGAATTGGCACGCAGGGCGGTGGCAGACACATAGCTCATGACCACTGCTATCCAACGTCTTAATACATCAGTGCTCGGATCCGACATCATGCAGCAGGGAGGAAGCTCAGATGTGCAGTAGAATCCCGTCTGTGTGTACCCCTGCTTGGATGGAATTTCTCCCAGGCACCTGTGCCTCACAACCTGAGCGGCCTCCAAGATATATGTTGTATGTCTTTTAGGGAAGCAAAATGGCAGGCTACATACAGACTGCTCCTGCACACCACCTCCATCTCTTCTCCTTCATCCAACTCCTGGACATGCCTTGGCACATCTATTTATCAATAGGCATTGGGATCCCCAGTGGGGGGCTCTCTATGTGGGAATCCTTCCTCTTTCCATCAGGGATCTAGGTTGGAAGGTGTTGCAGGCAGCGGTCCCCTGTAACCTCAGATTGTAGTGGTTCACGGACTCCCAGACTAACTGTGGAGTCCGTGGACCATGTGTACATTGGTTGTGGATGTTTGCACTCCCTTTTTAATTACCCAAAGAACCTTTTGCTCTGTTTTTGTTTGCACTTCAGCCCCACATTCCTGATCTTCAGACACCCGGTGCAGAGGGGTGTGAGCAGGTCGGAGGATCCCCTCGTAAGTCAGCTCTTGGGCCTGGTGAGGTTGGCTATAAACAGGTCCAGGCAGCAGGCCATGGAAGGAGTCATTTCAGCTGACGGCCTGCCCCTCTTCTGCGGCTAAGTTCGGGCCCAGGTGTCCTTGGAGAGGGAGCACATGGTGTCCACCAATCCTCTCAATGCCTTTTAGGGAGAGGGGGGCACCGCGGAGGCAGAATGGTTTATTTCCCTCTCCAACTCCATTTTGTTTTAATCCCTATTTTTCCCCTTCACTTTTTTTTCACATAAGTGTTGCCTCTATCGGTCCTTGCTTGTTACTGGTTCCTTGGCCACATGGGTGTTTTTCCTAGTGGTGGAAATATTGAATAAAATTATTTTCACAAATGTTGTTTCACTGAGTCCCTGCACTTACACACACACAACATGGGTGCTGCAAGGGAAAATAAGCATAACTGCTGTGCAGCAGAAAAAATAAAAAGAAAATTATTTGCACAAATGGTGTCTTCACTGAGTCCCTGCACTTACACAAACACAACACAGGTGCTGGAGAAAAACATAATAGGGGATTCAGAGAGTTTCCTGACCTCAGGGACTGACTCCGTGCTGGCTGGCTTCAGCCAGTGTACTGTGCACATGTAAATAGAGGGTGATTTGATGTCAGATGCCAGCCTCTATGTAGTTATTTCAGTTTGTTTGTCAGAACTACCAGGAAAGTTAAACTCCAATGTTTATTTGTTCTCCACATGTAAAGACTGTACAGAACTGAACTGTTCTAGTGAACATGTATGCATACAACATTTTTTATGAATAAAGTATAATTTTGAAAAAAATAGTAATGTTCAGCAGTAAAATCTATTGTAACTTGTTTTTTGATAACATTGGCACTGTTTGTATTGGTACCAGCTTGTGTTTGAAGCAATTTGACGCTTCAGTGTTGTGGGACACCTGGGCAAATTCATTCATAACATTCTGGTTGAAGATGTCCAACTTTTTTAAGGAGGGACTAAACAACAGTAAGAGATTGTGGGATCAAAGGAAATTTTGAAAATTGGATACAGAATTGGCTGAGTGGCAGGAAGCAGAGTATAATTGTGTTTGTGATGGGAAGCCTGCATGTAGTGGGGTTCCATGGATATCAGTGTTGGGACCCTGTTATTTGTGGTATATATGAACAATTTAAACTTGAATGTAAGAGGGTTGATCAGTTAGTTTGGATGGACATGATGTGAAAATTGGTCCGGTGGTGAATAGTGTGGAGGACAGCCTTAGATTACAGAAGGATATAGACAGGCTGGTCAGATGGGCTGCTCAGTGGCAAATGGGATTCAATGTGGATAAATATGAGGTTATGCACTTCGGCAGGACAAACAAGACAAGGAAACAGACAATGAAGAGTAGGATCCTGGAAATACCGAGGATAAGACGGACGTTGTTGTCCCTTAAGGTATCAGGACAGGTAGATAAAATGGTTAAGAAGACATAGGGGATAATTGCCTTTATTTGCCAAGGCATATAATTTAAGAGCAGCGAGGTTATGCTGGAATTGTATGCACGGTTGGTTAGGCCACAACTAGTGTATGGTGTGCAATTATGTAATCCTTATCATAGGAGGGATGTGCTTGCACTGGACAGGGTGTGGAGGAGATTGACCAGGATGTTTGCTGGCTGAAGAGTTTTAGATATGAAGTGATATTGGATAGACTGGGATTGTTTTCCTTGGAACACATGAGACTGAGGAGGAACATGATTGAGATGTATAAAATGGCTCACTAATGTCCTTTATGGAAGGAAACTGCTGTCCTTACCTGATCTGGTCTACATGTAACTTCAGACCCACAGCAATGTGGTTGACTCTTAACTGCTGTCTGGCAATTAGGAATTTAGCCTGTGATCCCGTGAATGAATTTTTTAAAGATTATGAGGGGCATGGAGAGGAAATGTTTCCTCTTGATGGAGGGATCAGTGTTCGAGGGCACAGATTCAAGGTAACAGACAAGAGATTTAGAAGGGATGTGAAGAAATGTGAGGGATGGTAGTCATCCTGAATGACGGTGAGAGCAGGAACATGCAGCCTGAGGTGACCGGCAGCGAGAGCAGGAGAATTCCGCTCAGAGTTGCCACGGTGAGAGCAAGGGGAGGCAGCAGCAGGAGCAGGTACAGGGTGTAAAGGTGGCAACAGCAGGCAACCTGGGACTCGGCAAGGGTGAGGTCAAGCCTGAATTGTGGGTGAGTCGAACCCTTGTCAGGAGTGCGAGTACAGCATGGCTAGGTGCTTACGACTGTGGTGTTGAACTGTTAACTTTTTTTTTGTTTTACGACTTTTTTTCAGTAAGAAGGGCTGTAATGTTTAACTTTTTAACTTTGCTTTCTTTATTTTTCTGCTTTGTACCAAGATTCTGTACCGAAGAAAGTGCTGTAAGTGGCCACTTGTAAACTTTTTTAACTGTACTCATGAGTACATGTGACAATAAACTTAATTCAACTCAAATATGCACTATGGTTCTCTGGGGTTATGGCAACTTAATAAAGAGACCGTAACTATCTTACTACATTTCAGCTGAGTTTCCATTGTCAGCATAATGTCAATCCAACATTGTCCAAATGTGAGGGATGGCAGTCATCCTGAATGACAGTGAGAGCAGGAACATGCAGCCTGAGGTGACCGGCGGGGAGAGTAGGAGAATTCAGCTCAGAGTGGCCACGGTGAGAGCAAGGGGAGGCAGCAGCGGGAGCAGGTACAGGGTGTAAAGGTGGCAACCACACCCGACACTTTTCCCTGCAATCGCAGGAAGTGCTACACCTCCCCCCTCACCCCCATCCCAGGCCCCAAGAAGACTTTCCACATCAAGCAGATGTTCACCTGCACATCTGCTAATGTGGTATACTGCATCCGCTGTTACCGTTGTGGCCTCCTCTACATCGGGGAAACCAAGCGGAGGCTGGGGGACCGCTTTGCAGAACACCTACGCTCGGTTCGCACTAAACAACTGCACGTCCCAGTCACGAACCATTTCAACTCCCCCTCCCATTCCTCAGACGAGATGTCCATCCTGGGCCTCCTGCAGTGCCACAATGATGCTACCCGAAGGTTGCATGAACAGCAACTCATATTCCGCTTGGGAACCCTGCAGCCCAATGGTATCAATGCAGACTTCACAAGCTTCAAAATCTCCCCTCCCCCTCCAGCATCCCGAAACCAGCCCAGCTCGTCCCCGCCTCCCTAACCTGTCCTCCCTCCCACCTATCCCCTTCTCCCACCTCAAGCCCCACCCCCATCTCCTACCTACTAGCCTCATCCCGCCCCCTTGACCTGTCCATCCTCCCTGGACTGACCTATCTCCTCCCTACCTCCCCACCTACACTCACCTTTACTGGCTCCATCCTCACCTCTTTGACCTGTCTGTCTCCTCTCCACCTATCTTCTCGTCTATCCATCTTCTATCCGCCTCCCCCTCTCTCCCTATTTGTTTCAGAACCCCCTTCCCCTCCCCCATTTCTGAAGAAGGGTCTAGGCCCGAAACGTCAGCCTTCCTGCTCCTCTGGTGCTGCTTGGCCTGCTGTGTTCATCCAGCTCTACACCTGGTTATCTCAGATTCTCCAGCATCTGCAGTTCCTACTATCTCTTGTCCAAGTAATACAGCTGGATGAACACAGCAGGCCCGGCAGCATCAAAGGAGCAGGAAAGCTAATGCTCTGACGCTGCCGGGCCTGCTGTGTTCATCTATCTCATTGTCCAAATAATGACGTTTTTCGCTCCACCCCTCCAACGTCAACTGCTTGTGCCCCACCCCTCCACCAATAGGAAGTCATATTGTAAGCTTCCTTACCCGACAATAAGACGCTGTGTGACAAACAGGAAAGGCAATAAAACCATAACAAGGTGACGTAAAGGCGTAGGCAACCGTACAAATAAAATAATGTGGAAAAGAAAAGATAAGATGGTGAGTGTAGGGATGTGGCTACAAAGTGGCAGTGATGATGGGCAACAGCAACAGCAACAGAAGAGGAAGGCAGCAGGTTCGTGTGATCACAATGCCGATGTTATTCCAGAGGAGAAGGACGTATCTGAGCTCAGATTTAAGGCTGACAATGAGCAGAAGTGGGATGATTCCGATTCACTGTGGAATTTGTTACTAAATTACATGGAAACCGCTTTAACCTGGCACAGACCAAGATATAGCATTGTAATGTTCATCTGCTGTAATGTTCTGTTCTGGTAAGAATGAGATCGGCGAAATCCCTCCCCAAAATATGCGGGAAAGCATACAGAAGTGGGCTTGGGCATGCTTAACTTTAGCAACATTCTGTTCGGTAGCTGAATTTGATTTATATGATATTGCATCAGTCTTAATATTGATAGTAAAATGTTATTTAAAGCTGGCTTCGGGGATCTGCAGTCTGCGCGGTTATTTTTCTGCGTAATACTGCAGACTCTGTCGCATAGGTTTCATCTTGCAGTCCGATAGATTGCGCGATTTTTTTGAGTGTTTGCATCTCCACAGCATGTTGGGGATTATGATTCACTTTGGATGATAGATCTTAATGCGTCATCGCTCATTCAATTGTTATCAGCGCGTAGAGTGGAGTAAACAATGTCCAAATGTGCAAGGGAAGCATTAGGGCCGGTACGGTGGCTCAGTAATGACCACTGCTGCCTCACAGCGTTCGATTCCACCTTCGGCTGACTGCTTGTGTGGCGTTCGTACATTTTCCCCATGTCTGCTTCCTCCGGTTTCCACCCACAATCCAAAAATTGTGCAAGTTAGGTAGATTAGCCATGCTAAATTGGACCCATGGTGTCCAGGGATGTGCAGGTGTGTTAGCCATGGGAGATAGAGGGTTACAGAGAAAGTGTAGGTGGATGAGTCTGGATGGGATGCGCTTTGGACGGCCGGAGTGGGCTTGTTGGGCCGAATGGCCTGTTTCCAAAGTGTAGGGATTCTATGGAATTGTACTAAATGGATTCAAGCTTTATGTTTTTGAGATTAAATGCAAGAATGGAAGCTTTATCGAGCAACGTACACTTGAAAGCAATGCATGGGTCCTGCATAACGTGCAATTTGAAATTGCAGTTGTTGAATTTCTTTTTTTTTACCTTCTGTTGTGCCTTTCAGGTTTCTAGCTTCAACGTCTTGGAGGCTTTATTCCCTTCTTGCTTTGGGCTTCCTTTTGTTGGTTGTTATGGAAAACGCGAGAGCTTTAATTTTGTTGGCCATGAAAGGTAAGGAGGATGCGTAAGCGATGTCCCTCTAAAAATGTTATCAAGGTTCAGAGAAGATGAGATAGTTTCCATATTGTTCATTCATGGCTTACCTTTTTACATGTCTGAGAACGTATAACGACATATCGAAAGATGAAACGTTATAAAAACCGAAAGAACCGCGGATACTGTAAATCAGGAACAAAGACAAAGTTGCTGGAAAAGCTCAGCAGGTCTGACAGCATCTGTGAAAGGTACAAACAGAGTTAACGTTTCGGGACCGGTGACCCTTCCTCAGAACCGAGAAACGTAATAACCTTGGAATGGCTTGTTGGTGGCGTAACTCTGAAATTGCTCCTAAATTTCTAATTTGTGTTTGATTTACATTTGAGTGAGCTGAAGATTTCATTTTAAATAAAGGATTAACAATATTCTAGATCTTGGTCTGCTGAGATCAGGAAAATATTAACTTTAACTAAGAGATAGTATGAACTGCCGATACTGGAGAAGGGTCCCGACCTGAAACGTCAGGTTTCACGCTCCTCTGATGCAGCCTGGCCAGCTGTGTTCCTCCAGCTCCACACTTAAGTTTAACTAAGTAGCCTGTTACCATTGCTTCACCTTGTCGCCAAGGCAGTGAGAGAGCTCGGGATTATGTGATGCCATCACTTCCAGAAACGATATATGCTGTCTGATTAGCATTTCAGTCAGATTAAACCACTGAAATGGCATTTCCCCAAGTCTCTGGCTGTGGACATCCACCTCCCCCATCCTGCCCCCTCCCCCTACCCCCTTTTTAAGCACCCATTTTATTGCTACCACTGTAATCATTTCAAAAGTCAACCCTAAAGTAGTCTCAACTCTTTCAGAGACGTTTGGGAATTTAAGCCCTCTGTGGAGTCTCTTGGTCTGTGCTGGTAGAAGGAGAATTGACAGATGACTCAATTTATTAATAAGGCCATCAACTGGATATTTCAAATACAGCAACTCTAGTCTGTTGACTGATTTATGTAGAAATGAGTGAAAGCCTGTTCTGTTGCACTGTACCATTTACAATTTAATTGACGTAGGACTGTGTGTGTGTGTATGTGTGTATGGCTTAACCTTTTGTCAGGTACCTTGTCGAATGCCCATTGAAAGGTGTCCAAATACAACACATCTACTGGTTCTCCTCTATCCACTCTGACTGAGACTTCCTCATGAAACTCTAATAAATTAGTCAGACATAATTTTCCTTTGATGAAGCCATGCTGAGTCTGCTTGATTAGATTATGATTTTCCCCATGTTCTGCTATTACTGCATTAATTGATTGAATACTTTTCCAACAATAATCGATCTAGTTACTGACTTTTTACATCCCTCCTCTTTGCATCCCTCCTCTTTTTCTGTAGTTTTGTAATCCTCCAGTACCTCTCAAGAATCCAGGGATTTTTGTAAAATGACAACTCCTGCATCCATAGTTTCTGTAGCTACTTCTTTTAGGATCCTTGGATACAAGCCATCAAGGCCAGGGGACTTGTGTGCCTTTAACCCAATTAGATTGTTTAATACTACTCTCTAGTGATGGTACTTAATTCCTCCCCCTCTCCCATATTCTTCCACCATAAAGATTGATGCAAAATATCTGTTGACTCCTTTGCTATTTCTTTGGTTCCCCATTACCACCTCCCCAGATTCACTTTCTAAGGGTCTTATGACCCCTCTCCTTTTTAAATATTTAAAGAAGCTTCCATTGTGTGATTTTATGCTTCTTGCTTGCTTGCTGTTGTAACTTTATTTCCACAGTCTTTGATATCTTCCTTTGCTGGGTCCTGAATTTATCCCAGTTTTTGGGCTATTGTTGACTTCTCCTTTTATTTGCTTTTACTTTCAACTTAATATTCTCCTTTTACTTACTTAGTCAACGATGGTTGTTTTATCCCTCTCTTAGGATCTCTCCTCCTGATTCCTAGGGGATCTTTTACTTTGAGGTCATTTATTAAACCTTGCCCCCTTAACAGATCCAGGGTAGCCTGCTGCCTGGTTGGCTCCATGACATATTGCCCAAGGAAGCTATCGCTAATGCACTGTGAACTAGTTGAAGTATCTACCCTTTCCAAGTTGTTTGGGTCAATAAAAATGAAGATTTAAATCATGCACAATTATTCTTTTTATATGCTGTTGTTATTTGTTGATTTATATGCTTTCCGACAGTGTGGCTACTCTTTTTGGGGGTCTGTGCACGACTCCTATCATGTCTTCTTTACCTTGCTGTTAGTTGCCTCCACCCAAATGGACTCTTCATCATCTGAGGCTAGATCATCATTCACAACTGTCCTCATTTCATTTCTTGTTAATAGTACTACCCTATCATCTTTTCTTTCCCTCCTGTCTTTTTGAAAGGTCAACTACTTCTGAATGTTAAGTTTCCAGTTTTGACCTCCTTGTAGCCATGCTTCCATAATGGCTGTGAGATTGTATCCATTTATCTCTATTTGCGCCTTTAGTTTATCTCCCTATTCTAAATGCTTTGTGCATTGAAGTGGTGTAATGGTATTGCTACTACACCAGTACTCCAGATTATCAGTTAATACTCTGGGAACGTATGTCAAATCTTACCACGGTAGATGATGGAATTTAAATTTTATTAATAAAATTTGCAGTCGAAAGCTAGGTCTCAGTAAGTCAATATGAAACTACCATCATATGTCCCTTTAAAAAAAATTTATCTGGATAATCAATGTATGCTACACCTAAAGGATCGTGAGTGTCTTTTTTTTTAGGAGAAGCAAAGTTTAATTGCTTTTAATAAACTGGTATATATTGTTGCACCTTGTCATGAAGTAACATTTAATTTTTAAAAACTTTGTGCTTGGTGATAGCTTGAAATAAATGACTAGATTCTTTTATAAATTCTCCAAACAATATAATTTGTTAAAGGTTAAATAAAATTCAGCTGTGGTCCTTTTTGGATAATAATTACAAATAGATAACCATGGAATACACCAGGTAAATCATGTTATGATTCTGTCACAGTGAGTAATCCTTTGCAATAGATAACCAATGGCATGAAGTGTATACAGTGGGCATGCATTTCATCTTGCCAGATGTTGTTACTTTTTTTTATTAAGACCTGGTAGATATACTCTACCCTTGGGTTCAGAAGTATAAATATTAAGATTAAAGTAACTCTGACTTCACAGAGCATTGATTAGGCCACCAATGGAATACTGTGCGCAGTTCTGTTTGCCACACTATTGGGAGAGCATGATTGCACTAGAGAGGGTGTAAAGGAAATTCACCAGGATGTTGCCTGGGATAGAAAATCTTCATCATGAGAAGACACTGGATAGGCTGGGTTTGTTGTCCCTGGAGCAGAGGAGACGGAGGAAGGAACTGATTGCGGTGTACAAAATTATGAGAGGCTTTTGTAGGGTAGATTGTAAGAAAACTTGCACTGTGGCAGACGTGTCAGAGACCAGAGGGTACGAATTTGAGGTGAGGAATAAGTAGCTTGTGGGAAATCCAGGTAAAAGGTTTTTCCACAGAGAGGATGATAGAAATATCGAACCTTCTGCCTGAAGTGGGTGGACGCAGATACTGTTTCAACATTTTATGAAGCATCTGGATGAGCAGTTAAAATGCCAGGGCGCGTAGGCTATGGACCAAATGTAGCTAATAACGATAAGTATAGTTTCGATGTTTGGTGGTGGTCATTGATGTGGTGGGCAAAAGGGTTTTCACCCTCGTGCTCCCGTAAATAATTTAATCGAATCTATGATGCAATTTAGCCTGAAGTACAATAATACTTGCAGAATTTCGTTCATTGATTGGGATTTTGAAAATAAAAGAATCAAATATTCTTGAAATGAGAGTTTTGCTGTACAGTGGCAACTTTTAAACTCTCGTGTTGTGCTACCCCTCTGTTTGATCCTTCACTTGCACGACTAATAAGGTATAGACCAGTTGATCAAGGATTAAATGTATTTTATTTTCATATTAATAAGTGAAAAATACAAGACTTACAACTTGCACAGAATACTATCTGTTAAGGTGCAAAATGATCAGTCAGGGTTCTTTGTCCTATCGCTACGTCCCAGACGCAGTGCTGTTTTCATGAGTGTTGATCCCAGGTTCTGTCTGTCATTTATCATTGTCTTGGGGTTTATATCTACGTCTGGACCTATGCTTTTGTTGCTTACCCATCAATGCAGAGTGACAGTAATTGACAGTCCAACATCCAATGCCCTCCATTCTGCTTGGCTCCAGGTTCATTTTGTTTGAATCCAACAAGTATACATCTCAATGTAGCTTTTTGCCCTGTTTCTTGTTAGGCACAAACAAAAGCAATGTTCTGATCACAAAGGCTCTGCAAATCTGGTTTGCAATTATTAACCCCTCTTTTGTTACAGCTTATATTATTGTAGTGTTCACTAAAGTCCAAAGTCTACATCCACCTTCAACACTTCCCCTTCCCCCAACCTTTTGATTCATGTCTGACCAAATTGATTTGAATTTTGTTCAAAGAGGTGACCAGGTGTGTGGATAAGAACAATGTTTTTGATGTAGTCTACTTCAGAAAGGCTTTTGATAAGGTCCTACATAGGAGACTGATAGCAAAGGTAAGAGCCCACGGGATCCAAGGAATTTTGGCAAATTGGGTCCACAATTGGCTGAGTTGCAGGAAGCAGAGTGTGATGATTGAGGGGAATTTTTCTGACTGGAAGTATGTGACCAGTAGGGTCCCACAGGGTCTATGTTAGGACCCTGGCTGTTTGTAGTTTATATAAATGATGTTGACCTTGAGTGTAGGAGAGTTTATCAGTAGGTTTGCACATGGGGGCGACATGGTTAGTACTGTTGCCTCACAGCATCAGGGACCTGGGTTCAATTCCACCCTCAGGTGACTGTTTGTGTGGAGTTTGCACATTCTCCTCGTGTCTGCGTGGGTTTCCTCTGGGTGCTCCGGTTTCCTCTCACAGTCCAAAGATGTGCAGGTTAGGTGAATTAGCTGTGCTAAATTGCCCATAGTGTTCAGGGA